CAACTCGAAGACCTCGACTCTTCGTTGGTTTTTGGCCGTTGGATCCCTTCACCGGTAGATCCGAGTGGTTTTCACCAGCCCTCGTGGCGGTTTCCACTCACGAGGATGGTTCTTTTTCCTTTCTTCACTGGAAGGTTTTTACCACTCGACCTCACTATACCAGTCTCCGTAATATCAATATATTCCGGAGCAGGTCGTGAGCAGCCTTCGTGGCCTCACTTCCACTTCCTGCCTCTCGGACACACTCCTCATCGGGTGTGCGGTTCTGGTTCTTCCTCTTCTTCCTCTTTCTCTCTGCCGAGTGCTTCACTAGCCCAGCTGCTAGTTTGTTAAGCACAATTTGCCCAACAGCGAGCCATGCTACGACTCGTGCTTGGCATGGAAGGTCTCGGCGGCTTGGAAGCGTTTTGCAATAAGATATCCGCATCTTCTCGTTCGCGGCCCTTTTTTGTTCATAAATTAACTGACGACAGGTGCGTGTCCCTCCAGGTGTCCCTCTATTGCATGCTTAATAGTCGCCTCGCGACATTGTGCACAAGGCAGCGTTGAGGATCTTGGAGAGTAAATTTTTCCACGTGAATGGAAAAATATCGAGCAGTGTCAAGGCAGCCCTCGACGACCACAAAGTGCTTTTCTTCATAAAAGCGAGGCTCCGTTGGGAGTGGCCTGAAAGCGGGGCGTCCAACCCGCTTGTACAGTATTGCATTTACAAGCAGACGAGCACGAGCAGAGGGCCGAACATACTGTACCTCGGGTGCGTCCTTGGCCTGGCTCGCAAGGAAATTCGGGCCTTCACTTGTGACCCCTGGCGAAGCTCAAAGTCAAAGCCGCTGCGGCAGATTCGGCGGCACGATATAAAACAACCGTTTACCCAGATCACACGTTTACCCAGATCACACGTTTACCCAGATCACACCTGCCAAGGCCCGTCGCCGGCACACCAGAAGCTATCAATCAGACGACAGTGCGTCGATGACAACTTCTATTATGCCTGCCGACGTCACCTCTGCAGGCGAGTTCTAATTCTCCAACAACTCTCTAGGGCTACCTTTTCAACGCCCAATGCGACCTACCCGCGCTCATCGCGTGAGTTTGATTCTTTGTGCAAAAATTCGCATACATGAAAGCAAAACAAAGGTAAAAGGGACCGCATCCAAGTTGTCATGAATCATGACACTTGGATGTATGAAATTGAAAAGAAGAAATATTCGGGAGAAATAGCAGGAGCGTAGTAAAACGTGAAAAATGTTCAGTATGCTTGTCTGGAGTGTGGTAAGAGTGCATAATGCTGTGTTTTGTGATGGTATGTTGAAGGAAAGTGATAGGAAATGACG